TCTTTGCGGATAATACCAGAGATATCCTGTCAGATACAAAGCATGATCCTTTTTTTTAGTTAAATTGTGCTTTGCAACGCTGCCAACGGGGTCGCCGGGCGCAGACCAACTCCCTTTTCGGCCTGTATTGTTGAAGTAAATCCAATTTTCATCACAGGTGACGATCCAGTCCAGACTTTTATCCTTGCGTTGATATTCGAGCGGATTAGTGCAGGCCCGAACATTTTTTGTGTCCTTATCTGTTTGAGTCAATTCGTGCGGCACCCAGCGATTAAACTTGTACGTTAAGTTTATATAATGCATAGCGCGATTAATGGACATGGCACTAACTCCTTAGCAAGCTCTCGAATTGTTGCATACTGATCTTCTTCCATGTGTTCTCACAGGCGGGCCTCATCAACATGAGTGGGCCAGCTAGTGCACTCTGCTTCTTGAATATTATAGGTCTTGATTTTGATCTTTCGGTACCAAACCTTCATAGTGTCATATGATACAACATTAGTACCGAAAGTTTTACACATGATTTGGTGACATTTCGTAACTGACTTTCAGACACCTCGTACTTAATGGTAACGATAGCTTTTTTACAACTTTCACAAACACGCAAACGCGAACTGTTTGCGCAGACGATATTTACGGTGACAGGAAACTTTCGTTAAAACCCGATAATTAGCTGTGATAAGTGCCCTTCAAATGGGGGTTTTATATCTTGAAAAAGATCAGGTTCATTTGACATCAAAATTTTCTGCAATATTAAAAAATAATCTTCCTCTGCATTTTTATTCCGCTTTCTTCTCCTTAGAATGAGCCTTTTCCTCTTTTTAATGAAAACAGATATTTTATTTTCGTTGATGCATGTGTTTTTCTTGCAGAGAGAGACCAAGGGAATTCAGCTTTTCAAAAATATCGCACAAATATTCCAGGTTTTATTAAAAAACCGGCATCAGCAAAATTCTTCTTCATCTTTTTATCCTTCGTCTTTAATGATGTAAGGATTATATTAATTTTATTAACAGTTAAATTTTAAGTTAAAGTTCCTTTCCTGTCAAATTCTTAACTTCAACTTACTACTTCAGGCCAGAACGTAGTTTTGGAATATTGCTGAATATTTAATGAGGAGGAGCTGTATTTAAGCCACGAAGTTACTTACAGTCAGAGAAAATCAGAGTTTCTGATTTACGCGCGTCTGCCTTTTGGCCACTCTCTCTCTCAAAGCTGTTATTACGCTCGGCCGTACTCAGGCCCTTGCTAAGCTTCGTAGTCAAATAAGTTAAGGTGCCAACTCGATTTGAATCTTGATAGTTTCGGCTCTATTTCTTTAGTTAATCTTAGTTTTAGTTTAATTCTTAATCTTTTAAGCTCAAGCCCAAGTTTCGGCTTTGTTTGTATACTCCCAGGCGGAGTTTTGTTAAATCTTATTAGAATAAAAGGGTTAGTTGCCCTTCTATCTTGTTGTTTCTTGCCACCCGAACTTAAGCGATTATTCGCTTATCAGTTCTTAAGATTCTTCACTTCCAACATTAACTTAGAATTACAAATGAAATTACAATTACAAATGAAATTAGAATTACAAATGAATTACTACAATGAAAATAAAAATTTCTCTCTGCAGTTTAAAGGTACGTGACAAAACATTGCCACGAGAGAATCATCGTGCACTGTTACAGCACAACAAAGACGAGTGTTCCGTTCCCATATCCTCACACAATTAAAAAAAAAAAAAAAAAAAAAAAACTTTGCTTTTAACGGACGAGATTTTATAAAATTTACCACATTCAACACACTTTTTAACAACTGACTCAGATGATTTGACACAAGCGCTTTTCTATGAATAATGCAATATATCCACAGTGCATTTGATGATTTGCTTCGAATAAATGCATATGATCCTTCACAGCATCCAGACTTGGAGCGAGCGCCATCAGTATAGACACCGATGCACTTAGGGCAATTGAAATTATTCTCGGATATGAATGTATCAAGAATCTCGAACAGGTTTTGAGCCATTGCTCCTGCAATAATATTTTTATAAAACAGAAGGTCTTCTTTAATATTATTACCATCTATAAACCGCACACAGCTTATCAAATGAGCATCCGTAATATTATCCGTAGCTTCATCTAACTGCAATCCAAATTCCCCTTCTTTATTTTTTCCAATTAATTAGTAGTTGATAATGTACTCCAAATGCTGTATTCTTGAACAAATTGTGTTATTGGACAAAGGCACTTTTAAAAGCAGGTTTCTCGCAGACTCATCAACCGTAATGTTCACCATACCTATAGCAGCCGGTAAAATAAATTCTTCTGCGATGGTATGAGGTTTCTTATATTTCGAGATTCTGTAATCCACCTTGTAAGATGCTAGTAAAGTATTGTTTGGTATTGATGTAGTCTTAAGAAACGTATTTTTTGTTGTTTCAATTCTTTTAACTTCCCGGCCAAAAAATCACGAGGTTTGCCAACCATGCTGTGGGATTAGCTTCTAAATGGCGCTTCAATTTACTTGAAAGCATACACTCCGCTGCTAAAACTTTCATACATAATACACATTGTGATATCTCTTGAACATTGAATTCTCTTGATGTAAAACCAAATTCTAAATAACTGCCATCATATTTACGATATTTTTGTTTCTTCATAGTCAAGCCACTGCTTGAAGACATACTTTCTTTATCTATTACGTCTTCTATTGCGTTTACTACTGTTCCAAAATTGGTCATTCAAATATAAAAAAGCCAACAAATCACAAGACTACTTATTTATCAAAGACAACAAACAAGAAGTTATATAACACTAACTATAGTACATGAACTAATTTATATCGCCGCTTATTTATATGAAGCTCTGAGGTTAATTTCACTAGACTTAAATTATAAACCAACTGACTGAATCTAGTTTGCAACGCTAGCTTATATGCTTTTCGCAAAATCTTCCAGAACAGTCCAAAGCTGTCATGAAGGGTCTACGCACCTTGATGTGTCTATATTAACAGTCAGCCTAAGAGGAGAATCCTGGATATAGTAGAAAGTGTATGCGTCCGCCGTAGAATATAATTCTACCACCTCGAGATGTCGTATTGTAAAAATTACGCTATGAAATTTAAATTTTGTTGAGCAAAGAGGACGGAATAAAAAGTGGATAGATTACGTTACATCCAGAGTTTTCTTTAAAAATTTGCTATTATCATATCAGTCATCGGGTGACCAATAGTAAGACATCCCCCTTTTTAGCATTATTAGCGAAACTGCAAACCCCATTCTCGATGATAAAAGAAATTGAAACACTCACTCATTCACTAAGCGAGAGAAGAAAGCAATTGTTATGGCGTCCGCTTCATCTTTGACAGATGAAGATTTGACAGATTTTCTTTGATGAGTATGATTTCAAAACCTTAAGAGACTAAAAAACCACTACGCAGTTCCGTTAAGATTATCGGTATGAATGTTTTTTTTTTTTTTTTTCCAAATTATGGTAGCATTTCCCTGATAAATCTGGTAATGAAATAGTTACTTTTGCTGCCGATTTGACTGGCATTTCTGTGACAAGCATAAATCACATGAAATCTCACCTGAAAGAAAATGGTGGATTTACGACTCCGAGGGAAAAAATGATCTCTGAAAATCGGTAGACGCAGACTCTAATAAAACGACATGATGTAGTAACTTCATTAACAATACGAAGAAAATTTCACCGTTTCTTTTTACGGAATAAGAGGTTGGAAGGGTCGTTCTAGCCTTGTGCGTTTCTCAAATTAGATTATCGTGAGATATCTCGCGATTCAATTAATTATGAAGCTTTAACAATATTTCGCGGCGCCCCTGTGAAGAGGCCGCGGCTTCCCAAGGCGCCGCGTTTCACAGTTTGAAAACCGCTGATCTAGTGTTTTTGTATACGTTGCATCGTTATGTACACACAGATATATGCCTTCGCATTTCCTTCTTGACTTTTGGAGAATCTGAGAGCTCATCTTTCGAAAAGCTTCACGCAATTCTTCATATGAGTTGACCACTCCTCTGTAATAAATGGAATAGCTTCGTGGAGCTTCTAGCTTCTTCGTGGAGAACAAGAATGCAGATGTTGGAGAACTATGCAAAATCCAGTTACCTACAATTTCCACGTAATTAGATTTTGCATATCGAGAAAATCACGCACACGAAAATTCATGTGGGGAGTTTCTTCCTATTGTACCCACCCAAGAAGCATGGGATACGGGGACAGTATAATTTTTTGACATTTCATATTTTTTGGGGAAGGGGGTTCAAAACGGGAACATATAACCAGCCTAGTGTAACTAGAAAGTTGATTTTAGACGCTAATACTGATGTGATATCTGCACGTCAAATTCACTATTAATAACCGACTTATTCTGTCTGAGTTAATTTAAACAAAATATCTTTCACATTCAGAAAAAAATATGTCCAATTTGGTTGACTCTAGAAGAATAAAACTTATGATAAGTTAAACTAGTATATTCTCAGTTGGCTAATTATAAATGTAAGAAAGTATAGAAAAGAAAATGGCATCAATATTATTTTCTTAATTTTAATATATACCCTTTTTCCTAATCGATTTATATTACACAATCTCTCAGAAAATCATTATTTTCATGCTTAATTAAAATTATTCTACAGCAAGTTCTGGTCGTATAAAAAGCAAAAGAATGTCGAAATACCATTGCCAGTCTAAATCATTACATTTTTTCTGCTATTTTTAATCTTTAAAAATGGTTGAGCTTCTGTTACTAATTCTAATATATTCGTATAAGAGTTACCTAAAATTATAACACTTTTATTTCTTATTTAATGCACTAATTTCGTATAAAATTGCTGGACGCAAAAAATTAATCAATCCTATTTTTTCCCCCTCTGTACATTTCAGTTCTTGCGTTATACAGCAGCCCACTTTAATTTTTGCATTACTTTCGATTGTTTTAGGATATCGTCTGCAGTCACTGATTCAAAAATAAATCGCGAAAAGAAAAAGGAATAACATTATTCCATGGCTTCTTCGGTAAAATATAGTTGGCGTCTCAAAAAGTATGCAAAATTTCTTTACGAAGATGATTTGAATGAATACGATGAAGAAGCTGAAACAATGGACGTCCCTTGCAAAGGCACTTGGAGAGTAAGTTAGAGAATTGTCCAGGTATATTTGTTTAGAATAATGTGTAAAAATACAGTTGAACGCCTACTTTCGTAGTATTAAGATATGCCTGCTCACGCAGCTGAATTTTCTTCGCCCACGGGTGTTGGTACTTCCCTAGTACCATTTATTTGAAAATATATTTGCCTAGTGCACTTTAATGCGATCTACTGGCGAAAACTCTTTAGTAGTTAATGACCAGAAAAAAGTAAGTCATAAAAATACAGTAGAGCTCCAAACTATCGGACTGACTAGGACGAAGCCCACCTGGCTATTAAAAAAAAGAAGAATGATGATATTTTTGTTTTATAGGATAGAACGTAAAAATATAGAGAAAAAATTACGCTAGTTAAAATTTTCAAATTCCAGCTTTTTTCTAAATGGGGATTTAAAGCTGATACTTTTATATTCATTTGCGTTTGACGAAGAGAGGATCTCTCAGAAATTTGCATTTGAAAATTTGTCAAGTTGTTTTTAGCAATATATGTATACCTAGCCAAAAAATTTTAATTGATAATAACTCTAATAACTCTTTCAGTTATTACTCAAACCTTGCTAGCTTGAGTCACATAGCCAAAATTTGAAATACAGATCTACAACCAACCGTTAATAGCACGTTTGATTCTGCAAGCTTTCTGAAACACATGTATGCTATTTTTAGAGTGTACTGTCAAAAATGAGTATGTATAATTGCATATTAATTTGTGTGCATATATTCAGAAAAGGAAGAGTTATATGAGATTTCTTAATTGAGCATAGTCATTCCCATTATTAAGAATCCGCATTAAGCTAATATGTGTTATTCACACATAATACCAGTTTATGTTATTCACACATGATGCCAATATATAAGTCATAACTTTTTATATACACGGTGCCCCGTAATTTATCTTATAATATTTGAGTAATGACTAATGATGTTAAAACAAAGCGAAAACTGTTTCCAGATTTTAAAAATGAAGCTTGATAAGTAAACAAAAATTTTTCAGAGTTACTCATATTCCCAGCGGGAAGTAGCTTCAGTAAATTAATGTAATTTTGTGTAATTAATGTTCCTTTCCTTTTCAAAAACGCTTTGACATGATAAAATGATAAATAAGGCCACATTCAACAGTCATTTTTTTAGCAGAACTGCGCTTTCTTCATATTTGGGGTTAAAGAGAAAATATTACAGGTTTTCTATACTAGAATTTTCGCCATGAAGTTGTTTCAAAGAAAAACAAATGCTTTTTGTTTCCCAATACTGCCACCTATTTTCACTCGTTGTAATACTCATTATATTGCCCACTCTGTATGTACAATCAAGTGGGTATCTAATTAACATTTTAGAACATCAAATAATGCTCTTAGATTAATTATTTATGTATTTTGAAAACAGCTGTATTCTGGAAATGGCATGGACCTCATTTTATCCTATTTAGAGTCAGACCATTTTCTGTTGTCAAGAGGTGATATTATATTGGTAAGTTCACTTTTTTCTTCCTCTTCCCCCCTCTTCTTTTCTTTTTTCCATTTCTCTTTCTTTTGTGTATATGCAAGTCCCAGTGTGACTATGTAAGGTATTTAGTTTTTGATTTAATGCTGATTCTTTTTCATCGAAATAAATTAATTTTCATAGTAACAAATGCAGATTCTTTAAGTGACTATATTAGAAAAATGTATAAGTAAAATTCCTTTAGAAGAACAATATTACTATAAATAAATAATAAAATAAGTGTTAAATAAACAAAAGATTAAAGAAGAGTTCTAAAATCCGAAAGAAAGTTCATACCAGCAGCTAAAAGAGCAAGTTAATAAAAATAGCATTATAAGTTCTTGAGAAAAAAGGCAACTGATGCGGGAAATAAATAACAATAATATTCACTCTCTGAGCAAAATAACCACTGCATAATCGTAAGGAAAAATTAAGAAATTCTTGTTACAATTCTCTTAAGTTAGTTGGCTTTTTTTGTTTTAGAACTCCGCTGCATTATTCTTTTATTTATTTCTTTCTGACTTTGAAATGCTATTCAGACTTGAAAAAGAACCGATTTTGTGCAAAACTTATGTTTTATAATTACAATGTTTATTATTATAATGCTTTAACGTTTTTGATATAATTAGCTCGTTTTTATAAGCTTTTAATTAGTTCAGTCATGGTAATTTATTGTGGGTGAAATTTTGTCATCAATTTTTAAGCTATTTTCTAGTACGGTATTTAGTCTAGTACGGTGGAGTCTCTTTTTTTCTTTTTTGTTCTCCCCTCTTCCCAAGATTCGATTTACATTTTTTTTTTTTTTAAACATAATGTTTAAACGATTTTCGGCACATCTATGCGTTTAACGAACAAACTAAGTACACCAGAATTTTACTATTTGCAGCACAGAATAGAACGAAATAAAAACCTGTTCAATGAATTTGTATGAATATTTTAATTTAATTCCTGAATTTTGGGTGAATTTTTGAAAATCGCTTGATTTTGAAGATTGTCTGACGTTTATGATTTTAAAATTTAAAGAACTAAAAATATATCAGATATAAAGTTTTGAAATTCTCACAGATTATAAAACAAACCATATTATATATTTTTTGTAAATGTGTTGCAGTCTAAATCAGATAGATATCGCAGGAGAGATGTTTTATAGCGGAAAAATTGCTCTTGAGTTTGCCATCTTGTCTCAGCAAAATGAAGAATTAGCGATATTCTTTTTTTACTTCCTTGTACGAAGTAAAGGAAGTAATTTAATTGCGAAAAATTTAGGGTATCATATTTCAACTAAAATAACCATTTTGACCGCTCTCGAACCATTTGAAGATTTTTTTGTGTGACATTTGTATGTATAGACGGAATAAAGAACTTTTTCCTCAGCCCATTAGCCCGGAAGGGCTATTAATTTCGCTTTGGCATGGATTGCGTTCATTCAATATAAACCGCGAATCACTTTTTAAAGTGTTGCCACCAAATACTGGAACCCTGCATTATATTTAAAGATTAAATAATGAACAAACTGCATAAATGTTGTATGTTTCTTGTATTGTCATAAAACTGAGCGCGAGACTTTGCATCAGAAATTCTAAAGATATGCTCTTTAAAATTATTTTGTGAATTTGCTGTTGAATTGAATTTTATGGTTAAGTGCAAAGAACATGATATTTAATAAATAAAGGTAAGCCCATTTTTTTTTTTTTTTTTTTTTTTTTTAAGCACAATATTTTTTTTCCCCTCGAAATCGGATCTTAAATCTTAAAATGTATTTAAAACAGATTCAGAAGAGATTTTTTTCGTAATGTATATTCCTATCATGTTACCTGGCTCGGTGAGCTCATTCATTTTATTATTATATGTTGGTAAATTGTGCAATTTTTTGCTTTAAAATTGATTGAATTATGTTGTTTTTATGTTCCGGTTAATGTTTTTATGCCTTTAGTTAATCTGCATGAATAGTTTAATCAACAATTTAAAAGTTTAAGTGGCACTAGGCCTAACAAGCCACCATTTGTTTGCATTTGAAACTCTTAGTAGAATACAGTCAGTTGTTGCACCAATTTCAGTGTCGTTTCGTCGAATGGGACTGAAAATAAACTTTCAATTTTGTGCACCGAAAATGAGGTCTTCTTGCCAGTTGGCCGAACTGTTAGTAAAAGGGGCTTTGACCCTGAAGGCCTATTGTTTTCGTTTTGCGATTTTGCGTTGGTTCACTATAAATGTTCACTAATGTTCACTATAAATGTTTCACTTTTCAAACTGTTGCCACATTATATTTGTACTGCAATATATTTGAAGGAATTAAATCATGAAAAATCTACATAAATGTATGTGTATTTCTTGCACTGTGATAAAACAACGGTACATAGACCCATCGAATTTTGAATGATGTGATCCTATTGCGAATATGGGCATGTGGAAGCCCAAATTTGAAATTTGGAATTTGTTTTATTACCGATTTCATATTTTGTAAAACTTTTAACGAATTTTTGATTAACAAAACTCAAGGATTTCAAAGCGAGCAATGGCAACATTGTACAGAAAAAACATTTTTATCCCCAGCGCGCGAGACTCTGTATCGGAAATTCTAAAGATATGCTCAATTTAAAACTACTTTGCGATATTGCTCTTGAACTGAATTTTATGGTTTAAGTGGGAAGAACGTGATATTTAATAAATAAAGGTAACAGGCAAGTTGTTAAAAAGAACGCCCTTTGTACGTAATTTAAAATCTGAAACATTTCAGATTTTTATTTTTTTACTTGTATTTTATTTTTCTTGCTTTGGAGTAGAAACTCTAATTTTAATTGTAAATAATTTTTTTAAACCTGTTAAATGTACTTGGTATTTTAAATATTTTCTATATTTTACAATTTTTAATGAAGATATTTTAAGTTTTTACGTATTTTAAATGAGTACTGAATTGACTGAATGAGAAATATATCGATAATGAAATTCTTGGAAACAACTTTCAATGAAGCGCAGCAAAAAATGAGTATGATTTAATAAGCCGTACAAGGAAGTCATGTGGTGTCAACATCAGTTTCACTTTAGCACTAAGCATGGCCCGCGCTAAGCAATTTGCCGAACGATGCAAACTCTATGGACCCTAAATTCTACTGCCGAACAACTTCCTAAATTCTAAAACACGTTCCACCCCTAAATTTGGTTGCGCAGCACTTCCTTTAAATTCTAAAATTTTAAATTTTAAATTCTAAATTTCCCTAAACTTTTTTGCACGTTGCTTCTTTAAATTCTAAAAGTTTTGTCACCCGATGAGACCACACCGGTTCTTGGCTCTAGTGCCGGCTCTGACTTCAAGTAAAATGTTGTTTTGACATTATTATATCCAGTTCCGGAACTGAATATTCAAAGCGATTTCTTCATTCCCTGAATAACGTTCAGTTACTTTTCTTTATTTCATAAACTAAATATATACACTCTTTTGCAAAAAAAATTGAAGCACCAAAAAAGACTTTTGCGATCGTGACGAAATTCGGTATGCAAAAACATCTTGATCGGACATGCAAATGATCAAAGTTTCAAGGCAAATGAACAGGAAATGCGATTATAGCGCGCATTTCTAGTGCGCAATTCGCAAAGTATAAAACCCGTAACGAGAGTGGAAAATTTTTCTTACTGCCATTGTAATTCCGTAAAGAAGCAACTAAAGATGCCATTACGACGATATCGAAGACCTTACAGACAACTAAACGACTTCGAACGTGGTCGCATTGTAGGGTTGCGTAAAGCAGGATGGTCCCTTCCGAGATAGCCGTCACCGCAGCGTACAGACACTGCTGTGCAAAGATTGTTGGCAGCAGTGGTTGCTCAAGGAATTGCCGACGAATGAAGGTCTGGAGACCAAGGAGCACAAATGCGAAGCAAAATAGGATGACTGTTCGCCAGACCCCGAAGCTCCCCAACGGTATCATTGTCGACTATTCAACGCACTACAGCCAGGTCTATACCTCCCGTGGTACCGTCTGACATCTCACGGCGCTTGTATGAGGCGGGGTTACGCTCACAGAGGCCTTTAAGACATTTGCCTTTGACTCCACAACATCGGCGGAGTCGTCTGGAGCAGTGTCGCAGCCGATCATCATGGCTGCCACCAGACTGGCATCGTATAGTGTTGAATCCCGCTTCACTCTTGAAGCAGATGATCACTGTGTTCGTGTGTGAAGAGGAAGGGGCCAGAGGTCCCAATCAGCCTTTGTTTTACAAAGTCATAATCCCTGGTGTGATGGTGTGGGGCGTTATTTTTTATGACAGGGTCATCTTACACATCCTCCGACATCTTAACAGCTAACGCGTGTTGATATCCTGCAACCGGTTACATATTTCACCAGTGCCATCACGTAGCACTGAGGGAGGGTTCGAAAAGACCATGCGCTGCTGCTTGTTATGTGACGCTAATCGTCGGTGCATGTGAGATTGTTTTACGTTTTAATTGCATCGTTTCGCGTTATATAATATGGCGTATTATTAGAAAATCTCGTAGTGTTTTTTTTTCTGAGTTGGCTATCGCTGACATTTCACTTTCGCGATTTTTATCGCGCCTTATCTTAGGATTATGTCGGCATATTATTGGATTAAGAGAATTCAAGTGTATATATTTTTTCATCAGTGAGAATGACTGAAGTGTTACAATGAATCTAGTTTTTTCAGTACTGCAGTCTTTTGATTTTAAAGTGTAAGATTCAGAACATAAATCTTATATTCCGTGTAACTTAAAAATATGTTGAAAATTGAATGTACTCGTTGTGAATACTATAATTCACTCTGTTTGATGATATTTCGTGTGTAACGTACATTAGAGTGCGAGTTATTAAATGCGGAATTAACACATAAATGTATACGAGCAAAGTAGTTAAAGTTCACTTTGAATAAAATCTGCATTGGTTATTATATTGAACACTTTTTCATATAGACTGATAAAAAAGGCTGATTCTATTTACTATATAATTGGTTCAATTTTTTCTTACGCATAGTTTATGTAAATATAATTGGGCTAGATTTTACAGATTTGTTTCTCATCTAATTACCCCTTACCAAATAATATTTACATCAATATTTTGCGAAGTATTCACATTGTTTGTATTTATTTCACCAGTATGAAATCTCATAATTCCTGTAATGATTTAATTCGCAATAACGGTTCAAAGCAATCGCTCTGCTTTAATTATTTGTACAGCAAGTGCGTGCAGAATATTTTCACATCTTTTTAAAGCACGCGAAACGTCATATGACATGACAGAAATATTACTGGATGCTCATTGGTCCATCCTAGAAGCCACTCCCTCGGTGGCTTCACAGATGTACACTTGTGAAATATGCGACCGGTTACATTACCCTTCGTGGCACTTCATCCTGGGACCATTTTCCCACAAGATAATGCCAGGCCACATACCGCTCGCATATCTCTGGGCTGTCTCCTTGCGGTTGATACGCTTTCTTGACCAGCAAGGTCACCAGACCCTTCACCAATCGAGCATTTCTGGGGCATAGTAGATCTGGACCACAAAATATCGCAGATCTGGAGCGACAACTGATGAATGCCTGGTAGGATGTGGCTCAGGATGACATTAGGAACCTCTACCACTCCTTTCCTCGATGAATTCAAGCATGCATTGCGGCCAGGGAAGGTTCGACCAACTACTAATTTGAGCACTTAATGGGTGATTGTGAGTCGTTAACAAATACTATGACCTTGAGTTTTTAATCATTTTATTATCTGTGTATGAGCTATACACATATCCAATTTCATCAAAAACAACCACTTCTTATGGTGCTCGATTTTTGCAAAGAGTGTATATAAAAGAAGCGCTGTCTGTGTGTGTCTTTGTTCGTGTGCGCGTAAGTTAATAGACCCAGGGTTACGAAATTGGGACTAGGTGCTCTAGACAAGAGACAGTCACCTCGGGTTTTTTTCAACATTCGAAAGAGTTTTTTATTGTAATGTGCAGTCAAGGGCACAGGCTGTGCTGATATATACGTGTTGCCATGTAAGTGCTAGTGAAATCAGCACTGTTGCCACTCGGAAAAATAAGCCCAATACTTCTTGCGATTTTTTTAAATTTTCCTTGGATACGCTTTCTGACAGAATCCAACGGGAATTGGGTTATTATTTATTAGTATAATTATATTTGATGTAGGGATTTGCTTATTTATTGTATTTGTGTTATATATATCTAATACAACTTGTCGATTTTTTTTGTTTTTGTTTTTTGTTTTCATAAAGTTTTTTTTCTGAAGATTAAAATTTCTGTGCGATTTAATTTAATGCTTGGTTTCCCTTGAGGTATTTTTCTCCCAATCCATTTAAAGCGACGAAGGCTAATCACATAGCGATTAGTTTTCTTACATTTTTTTGCTTTTTGTTTTAACAACACTAAAAATGTCCCTCATTGATAACGTGTAATTGAGACTAAAAAACAGAAAATCAATACAATTAAAAAAATGTTAATTAATTAAAAAAATTGAAAGCTTTCAATTTTACATTAACACAAAAAGGAGGCGTTTTTTTAACGATGCTGAGTTACCTTACTTATCAATATCATGTTTCTTCGCACTTAAGCATAAATTTAATTCAACAGCAATATCACAAACAATTTTTTAAATGAGGCATATCTTTTAATGTCCAGACACACGTCTCGCGCGCTGGAGGAATTCCCCCCCCCGTACGTGTGCCATTGCTCGCTTTGAATCGTTTGAGTTTCTTAATGCAAAAATTAGTTAAAGTGTTACAAAATATGAAATCAATAATAAAACAAATTCCAAATTAGGGCTTCCAGATGCCCACATTCCGAGGAGGATTACGTTATTCAAATTTTGATGGCTCTAGGTACTAAATAGAATGTAATTTATTTTATAACCCTAACGTTATTACTTTTAGATTTTAACCTTAATTATTACTACATTGATTAAAAGAAACCAAAGAAAAATCAATGAAATTTTCAAAACTTACCTGCACCAATTCAGGCACTATGATTATAATGCTCTTCGGAAGTCCTTATCAAGTGTGTTTAGCATCGCCTGTTTGGCAATGGTCGTAATATCCTTAACAGAATCAGTCCGTTTCACGGGGGAATGGTGTATACATCAGGGTACTTGGGCGTACACCCAGGTACCCTGGTGGTACCTGGTGTACGCCCAGGAATGGTGTATACACCAGGGTTGTTCGATGGGGGTCCTACCCCTATCGAACAACATTAAAAAAATTACTAATTATGTGAGCATTAACACAAAGAAAATTTCTAAATAATTAAAAAAAAAAAAAAAGAATTGAGCTATATGAAGAGATTTAAGTAACAAGAGATCTTGTAACCGTTGTATGACTGATCCAACAAATGCACATTGCGTTAGGATCGCTGTGTCATCTGCGTACATTGCGAGTGTCGTGTTGGGTGTTGTAAGAATGTCGTTCACATAAATATTAAAAAGTGTGGGTGTCAGGAGTTAACAGAATCAGTATCGAGGTCGTAATGAGTTTGATTCATAAAGCTGAAGAAATAAGTAAGAAGGAGCTGTATCCTAAAAAGAAAAAAAAAGGGGGGGACGACAACCATACGAAAATCGTTATAGAGCTCTACAGGACTTAATAGAAAAGCTTCTATATACGATTCTGTAAAAATTCTATAAAGCTATCACAGAACAGAATTGTACAGAAACGTTGCTTAGCAAAATCATATAGGAATTTTATAAAAACCTTTGAAAACGTCAATGACTTCTATTCTATGAATAGCATTCAATGAGAAAGTTTTCAAACTCTAGACTATATGCTAAAAATTCGTCCTTCCTCGCCAGTTAGGTAAATTTGTATTTTATGAAATAAGTGACAAAAGATACTTGACACAAAAGACATTACCTGCAAAGGGATAAGGTCTAATTATTTCACGATAGCATATCGAAAAAGAATGCCTCATTTAAAAAAAATTAAAAATTAAGAAAGAAACCTCTCATTTTATACCTGAATGCATTGGCGCTTTGAAATTTTTACCTGCTAATGAAGAATTCAGATTTTTCCTTTGTTGGAGAAGTTACACAATTAATGTATAGTTTTATATTTTATGCACACCTCAGTTAAATCATTTGAAGACCAGGTTTTAATTTAGATAAGATTGTGGAGTTCGGGTAATTTTATCTGGCTTAAGATCAGCCTCGTATAAATTTTCCTAGTAATGTAGCGTTTAATGCCTTGATGATAGTAAAAACTGGTTGAGTTAAAAGTTCAGCTAAACTTTATATTTTACAAATAAATGCATATAGTAGCATAGAAGACCATAACTTTTTCAATCCTATTTTAGGAGAGCTTTTCTCTGATCAACAGCAAGTCATGGATGAAAGGTGTAGCAAAAGAAGACAGCTTACTTCTTACATGTCAGCTTAAGGTAATGTAAGAGAAAATTTTAAAAAAATACTGTAATTTAGAGAGATTTTTTAACGAATTTTTGAATCTGAGAACACTATAAACATTTTTAGTAAGCATCGTGAATTTAAATTCCCGAGATGTATTAAGGAAATTGTGACAGTGTACACAATTCATTTCTAATAGCTGAGTGGCTTAATGACCCTGCAGTTCATATCTGTAGATACAGGGCTAGCATAAATGATTCATTCATTTTGAAAAAGATTATATTTTCAAAAGTATTACGCGTAAAATATATGAAATTGAAAAATATATGAAAAGAACCACAAACTCAAACACAAAGTTTTTTTCACTATTTCACCAAGTTACCCGGATAAGTGGAACATTGCTTCATCGCTGAATATCACCTTGGTGGCGAAATTTTCGTCCTCTAGGGCTTCTTCATGTTGACGAAAAAATCTAGTCGACGGGGGTAATCGCCCGGCTTTAATTTTCGCAAGAGCTTGAAATGCAACCGTTGACGCAAAATTGTCCACACAGTTTTTTGTTGCATGTGTGGAATGAATTCGATTATCGTCTAAATGTGTATAGTGTCACCCAGCGCCGGAGCTAGGTTATCTGGCGCCCGCCTGCAAAGTACCTGAAGTCGCCCCCACCC